GTCCTCCCTTCCTCCCCCTACCCCCCCCCCACCCCCGCTTAAGGCCACCCATTTTATCGCCTCCTCTGTTTGGACATTGTATACTCTGATTGATGTGTTGTGCCTACTGTTGTACTTTTCTTGAAGGCCAGGACAGTTTTTTCCTTTTTCTCTGTATGACCATCTCCGGTGTTTTTGTGTAAGCACTTAATAAATGCTTGTTTGATTAATTGATTGATTGTAAAATTTAGTTGCATGGGCAGCTTATTGTTGGAGCAGTTCTGTGGTAAAGCATTCTTTTCCAATCAATCATTTATTAAGTGCTTACTATATGCCAGCTATTGTGCTCAGTACTAGGATACAACAAAAATATAATACTCTCTACCCTCACAAACAAAATGTACATAAATAAGTGTGTGTGTATGTATATATATATATACACACATATATCATACATATATATATATACACATATAAATAAGTAGATACAATATATAGAGAGTTAAGTACATGGAATTTAGGGGAGATCAGCCCTACTATGTGAGGGGGAAGGAGACTCAGGAAAGACCTCTTGTAGGAGGTACATTGACCTTTGAAGGATTCAGGAGGCAGTGATGAGGTAAGGCAGCTAGGTGGCACAGTGGATAGAGTGCCAGGCTTGGAGTCAGTAGGTCTTATCTTTCTGAGTTCAGATCTGGCCTCAAATACCTTGCTAGCAGGATGATCCTGGATAAGTCACTTAACTGTGTTTGCCTCAGTTTCTTCATCTGTAAAATAAGCTAGAGAAGGAAATGGCAATCCACTCCAGTATCTTTGCCAAGAAAACTTCAAATGGGGTCATGAAGAGTCAGACATGACTGAACAAGGATGAGGGAGAAGAATATTTTCAAGCATGGGAGAAAACTTGGATTTACAAAGGAAAATTAGGGGTTGGGGGTGGGGTGAAATCCCTCCTGACTTAAAAGTAAAACACCAAATGAAACCTGTTTGTAATTCTTTTTAAAATTACTTTCTATGGGATTAGTTTATTAAAAAGTTTACTTAGACTTCTTCCCTTGATCCTCCTCCTTCTATCTGCTTTGAACCTGTCCACAGTGGAGTACTGGGGGAGAGAGGGAATTAAACTGTGTTTGAAGGACATGTGAAATGGGGATTATGTATTCAGGGCCTCTTTCTATCTTTGTTTATCCTATTGCAAAGATGTTTGTTTAAAAGCAGTAAGAGTTAATCGTCCAACTTCACAATGCAGGCAGTTTCCTCATAAAATGTGTAACAGATTACACAGATGGCAAGTGCTGATATATAAATTTTAAACGAATATTTCCGATGGAGCCAGATGGTAGTTTAACATGAATTGTTGAACATTTATGCTTATCTTACTAAAATTATCTTCTTTTGTCTAAACCAAGCTAGCAGTGGGTTTGGAACAGATTCTGTAACAACATATCACCAAAAGAACCAAAAAAAAAAATAAGACTGAGTGCCAGACAATATTGTTCCATATGCCATCTGAAAAGAAAAAGGAAGCCTAAGCTTGATTACACTTAACAAGTTACCCATGTATTTTTACCCCAAATCAAGGAAATGCCTATCAGAATTCTTAGAAAACTCTATACATTCTTTTCTGTCTCCAAAACTTAGCTTATATATTTGATGTCTGTATACTGTATCCCTGATTCTTTTGATACCATGGAGAGGCGACTCATTTTATATACAGATGCTAGGGTAGTTTTAGTTCTTCCTTGGGTATTTCCTTTTCCCCACCCTTCCCCAGCTAGCCTCATGGAGTGCTTTGTTGTGATTGTTATTTCCTCTTGGATGATGCAAGAACTTTGAAGAGTGAAGTCATGTTCTCAGCTCACACTGCCTCTTGCAGGGAACACTTCTTATTTAGGAGAGCATAAAACCCAGTAACTGATGTGTGAGAGTATATGAGCACATAGAACAAAATATGGAAATAAGTTTAAAAAACATTAATTTTTTGGCAGCCCCAAAATAAAAACATGCTTGTCATGTTGTATAGGGGATCTTTTTTTTTTTTAGGTACAGATTAGATTGAAGTGCTTCAACAGTCTCTTACAACTCTGACATGATATGCTTTGCTTAGAATCCAGGTTTTCTTATATTGGTTTTCCAGAATACTCAAAGCATTCTAAGATTGAACATCCCATGAGATAAGTAGGAAGTAGGTAGTATCATTCCTATTTTTACAGAGAGAGACAAACAGACTAAGGCATGATGGGCTTTTGAGTGTTTCCATTCATTCCTTTGGTTCTCTCTGTGGACTCTTAACATATGGAATGCCTCCTTAATCAAAATTAACAATTGTGGGATTTCTGCTTCTGGAAAAAGTAATATTGATTAACCAGTAGTGGACCTAGAACTAACCCAGGTCTCTTGACATCTAGTCCAGTATAATGTACTATGTCACACCTTATTATTACAGAATTGCTAAATTTGAGAATTGGAAGGCACTTTAGTGACCTTTGTGGACACAATAATAAGAAACAAGACTCAAACTGTCTAGAATCTGAAAATAGGAATCTCGTTCTTGTCTTTTAGAAATCTCTTCTCCCACTTCCCCCTCTCTCCAAATTGCCTCTCTTGTTCCCCATCTCCCCACACAGGAATAGACACACACACAGTACGTATATGGGAGAGATAATGTTTATACTCTTAGATTAACTGTCAAATTATACTAGCTTATAGTTCTAAATTGAACAGATTCTAAAGTCTGGGAGATTTGGGGTTTTAACTATACCAGTTAAAACGTCTGCGTATGTATTATAAAGTCCAAGTCTAGAATTGTACTGAAGCCAAAAATTATTCCAAGTGTGAATAAGGTTTCAGCACAATTTAAGACCTGAACAGTCTAGGGCTAGATGTGTGTTCCCATCATCCAATGAGCAGGGATGCCTCTGGGTTTGGTGGCCTGGCCCTGCTTCTGAGACTAAAAATAGGTTTAATGCTTGCTGAAATAATTGTTAATTTTAGCCTTGGGAAGCTGGGAATGGGGCTGGGACTGGATGCACTTATTAGGGCAACTAAGCAAAATCGAAAGTGGTGAGTTGCAGTCCTTATCTACTTTACTCCTCCTGGTGTTGTTTCCATACCCTATTGAAGAGAACTCTTACATGCTCTGTTATTATCGCCTTATTCCCCACCACATACTGAATCAAAACTACTATTGTCAGTGAGTTAACACCAGCTAGCAGTTAATAGGAAAGCATCTGACTCATACTAATATTACACTAATATAGTACTTTGATTTGCAGAATGCTTTGCTTATGTTAGTTGATTCTCACAACAAACCTATGAGGTAGGTGCTTTTATTATCTCCATTTTACAGATGGAGAAACTGAGGCTGGGTGTCTTGCCCAGCATCACATAACTAATAAGTAACTGAGGCAGGATTTGAGTCTTCTTGACTCTTAAGTGCTATATCCATTGTGCTACCTAGCAGCAGGAGGATGATATTTTTGGGTGGGAAACCTTATTGTTGTTAAGTAAATCACTATATAGGCGACAAGTTATTTTAATGTAGAAGTCCAGACCTGAACATTATTTGATCCTCCAGTTAAATCAGACGTTGTACAATGAAATTACTTTTTTCTCATTATCTCTGTATTCATGGTTCCCAAATCTATATATCTAGCCCTGACTGCACTTACCAGGGCTGATCCTATATTTCTAGTTGCTTGTTAGACTTCTGTCACCTCAAACTCAGCATATGTAAAATTGAACTTAGCACCCTCCCCCAACTTTCAAAAAACAACCGAAAATACACACATTACTTTTCCAGACTTCTCACTTCTGTAATGGTGTCACCATCTTGCTAGTCACTGGAGTTTGAAATCTCAGGAATGTTCTTCAACTTCTTTTTTCTCCTACTCAACTCTATATCCAACCACTTAGCAAGAGCAGTAGATCTTTATTTGCATTTGTTTATCTTATCCATAATCACTTCCACTAACCAAAGTGAGTGATTCATTTATCCAACAAACACATTAAGTGCTGAGGGGTACAAATGGGGCAGTGGAGAGAGCACTGAACCTGGAGTTAGGAAGACTTATCTTCCTGAGTTCAAATCTGGCCTCAGACACTTACAAGCTGTGTGACCCTGGGCAAGTCACTTAACCCTGTTTGCCTCAGTTTCCTCATCAGTAAAATGAGCAGGAGAAGAAATGGCAAACCATTCAAGTATCTTTGCCAAGAAAACCCCAAATGGGACCATAAAGAGTTGGACATGACTAGGGGTAAAAAACAAAACAAAGCTATACCGCCAGTTGCAAGATACTGTTAGACCCTAGGAGATAAAAAAATAAATAAGTTAAGGCCATGCCCTCAAGGATTTCACAGTTTCCTTTCCCTTTATATTAAATGTGGTACTGGTTTTTGGTGTGGTGGGTTTTGTCATTTCTTTTCATGCCTAGGGCTTATCCCCATCTGGATTATAAACTGATTGATAGTGAGAACAGGAAGGCCTGTTCAACTTCTTTACATGACCCTAAGTGCCTAGCATTCAGCCCATCATATTGTCAGTGCACTTATTTGTTGAATGATTGCACATTTTGTGGCTTTCCACAGGCTTCCTTCATAGTTAAAGTTTCGCTTGGAAGAATACTGTTAAAAATAGTCACATTCTCTAAGCATGAACCGTCATTCAAGAGGAAAAGTTCAGAAAGGGCTGGCAGGTGAAGTCAGTGTTGGCTTCCTTACTTATTGTGGGTAATTCACTTATGGATCACAGAGAATTGACTTTATCCTGCCTTTAGTAAGTATCTTAAACATAGATGTTATGCGTAAAATTCATTTTAAAATCAATTACTTAGCCATATGGTGTCTTTTATAAATATTAAACATTCTCTAAGTGTGTATACATACATACATACATACATACATACATACATACTATAGAAGTAAGCATTTTCATATTCCACAGGGTGTGCTTAAAACTAAAAGGAAGCTGTATCTAGGAACCCTCTCGACCTAGTAGTCTTCTTTTTCTTTCTTCATCATAGGATATGAATTTGATTGACATCCTCTGGAGACAAGACATAGATCTTGGGGCAAGGCGTGAAGTGTTTGACTTCAGTCAAAGGCGGAAAGAGCATGAGCTGGAAAAACAAAAGAAACTTGAAAAGGAAAGACAAGAACAACTCCAGAAGGAACAAGAGAAGGCCTTTCTGGCCCAACTGCAGTTAGACGAAGAAACAGGTGAATTTCTCCCAATTCAGCCAGCCCAGCACATTGAGCCTAGCACATCTGCCAACTACTCCCAGGTAAGTGATCAGTTTCTTTGTGAAGTGACTTTTAAATGTCATGTAAGGGAAGTTCAACTAGACTATGTCTGTTGAGTAATGCTGTCAACACTTTCCCTCCTATTTACCTCTGCTTCTCTCATATAGGTCGCTGACATCCCCAAAGCAGATGCTCTTTTCTTTGATGACTGCATGCAGCTTTTGTCAGAGACATTCCCATTTGTAGAAGATGATGAGGTAAAGCTTTGGGCTGATGTCCAACAAAAACTCTAGAACCCACAAAATCAGTTCTATGTGACATGAGTGTGTGCTCTTCTCTAGATGTCTTCTGTTTTACATCATCATATTTCCCCCATTATTCCTCCTTTCTCCCTCCTAGCGAGCTGTCCCATTAAACAGTCTTTTTTTTTTTTTAGGCAGTTGGGGTTAAGTGACTTGCCCAGGGTCACACAGCTCAAACAATCATTTTTAAAGACTACTACCTACCCACCCCCCAAAAAAGAGGAAAAAACCAGTACAACCCATCAATACATTGGAAAAATCTGAAAATATGTGGCATGTGCAATACCTGTGGGCCTCCAACTTCCACAAAGGGGTGGATTTGGGGGTGTCCTCTTATCCCTCTTCATTTGAGTCTTTCTGGATATTTACATTCACTTTTGATTTTTTTGGGGGTGGGGCGTGTTCTTTCTATTTCCACTGTTGTAGTTAGTCTGTATTGTTTTCTTGGCTCTGCTTACTTCATGTGAATCTTTCTAAGCTTCTCTGTATTCATCACGTATATCATTCCTTACAGCACAGGTCATATTCCATAACATTCATGGATCACAATTTCTGTATCCAGAATGGCTGTCTGCTTTGATGGACAGCTACTTAGTTTTCAGTTGTTTGCTGTCACATAAAGGGGCTTTCCTTTTTAAAAAAAATAAAAAGACCTTTTGGGAAGAAATTCTGTGCAGAAAAGCATATTGTTGAAGTGTGCACTAAACATTTTCTTTGTAACCATTGTTATTGACTTTTTAATTACAGTAATTCAGCCAGATAAAAACTACCTGAGCCAAATTGTTGTTACTCTTAACAACTAAAGATAGCAGTTAGAATAGCCATGGGCACAAGACATCCACTTTTTATGGTTGTATAAAAATAAAGCCTGCATGAATAGGCCAATATCTGACTTGGTAAATGATCAGGTACAGAGACGAATGGGTAATCGCCCCAGTCTTAGTCATTTAATTCTGACTGTCACCCACAAGCAGATGTTGCTTGAAGTTTATCACATAATGAACAAGATAATAAATGGGGGGGCAGAGGTAAGAGGTAGGGAGGGTCAATTGGGTCAGGAAGAACAAAATTGTATCTGGCACAGAAAAGAAATTAGGGTCAGATATGGGGTGGGTTGGAGAAGGGAGACACAGGAACTTAAAAAGCTATAATCATAGCTTGGGGCATAGGAGTTTCCATAAGGACTGTGGTTTCATGTATTATTGGTAAGAACCTCATATTTTAAATAAATTATTTCTCAATTTTAGGTTTCTTCAGCCACATTTCAGTCACTTGTTCCAGATCACATTGACAGCAACCCAGTCTTTGTTACTTCTAATCAAGCTCAGCTACCTGGATCAACTGCCCTGCATTCAGTAGTGGACAACAGTATGCAGGATATAGAACAAGTGTGGGAGGAGCTGATGTCCATTCCAGAGTTACAGGTAATCAAGAGCCAAGAACAAAGGCATTATTTTATATTTCACTAACCATCAGCAGAAGAACTAATTATTTAATGAGTAGCAGCTCTCTAGGAAAAAGGAAAGGAAAAAAACAAGCATTTGCATAGCCCCTACTATGCCAGGCTCCATACTAAGTGCTATATAGATATCATCTCATTCATCATCTCATTTCATCCTCGCAACCCTGGGGAGTAGGTGCTGTTATGATCCCCATTTTACTGTTGAGGAACTGAGGCAGACAGAGAGAGGTTAAATGACTAGTCAGTGCCAGAGGTTGATTTTGAACTCAGGTCTTTCTGACTGCAGGCCCAGTGGTCTATCTCCTGTGCTGCCTCTATGCCTAAAGAGCAGGCCTCCCAGTCAGGAAGACTTGGATTCAAGTGCCACCTTTGTGACCCAGACAGGTCACTTGGCCCCACATCACCCTGTGCAGCTTACTTAAGACTATACTTCAGCAAAATAACAGGTCCTGTCTCATTTCATAATAAGCAGAAGATTTATAGTGCACCACCATGATGACTAGGACAGATGGCAAGCATTTCAAATCTGACTTTGAAACTCTTAAAATCATGTTTATGCTTAGAAAATGGAAATCAATTTATGAATGTCTGTGCTAGAAATCAGACTACACTTTGGCATATAGATGACCTTGGGCAAGTCACAACTTTTTGGACCTCATTTTCCATATCTGTATAAAATGATTGGATGATTATAAGGGTTCATCCAGCTCAGATAGGCTATGTAATTTTCTAAGAACGACTTGAAGACTTTAACGGGTTTGCTCGCATGCTTTCTTGCATATATACACACCACCTAAAACCAGCTTCAGATATGGGTTAATGGTGTGAAAATTTTTGGCGTTGCTTACATAAAATCTTACTTTAACATTTATTTATGCAGTGTCTTAACATTCAAAATGACAAGCTGGCTGAGGCCACCATAGTTCCAAGTCCTGAAGCTAAACCAACAGAAATTGACAACAGCTACAGTTTCTACACTTCACTCTCGACAATGGAAAAAGAAGTAGCTTCCTGCAGTCCAGATTTCCTCGATGCATTTGAGGACTCCTTTGGCAACATGCTCCCCGAAGAAGATCCTAACCAGTTGAGAATGAACTCTTTAAATTCAAATGCCACAATAAACACTGATTTTTGTGAGGAATTTTACTCAACTTTCATAGCAGAAACAAACATAAACAGCAGTATGCCTTCCCCCACCCACATCAACCAGTCACTCTCAGAACTTTTAAATGAGCCCATTGATATTTCTGACCTTTCACTTTGTAAGGCGTTTAACAGCAACCATCCTGAAAACACACCAGAATATAATGATTCTGACTCAGGCATTTCTTTGAACACAAGCTCCAACATGGCATCACCAGAACACTCGGTAGAGTCTTCCATCTATGGAGACACGCCACTTGGCTTCAGTGATTCTGAAATGGAAGATATTGACAGTGCTCCTGGAAGCATTCAGCAGAGTAGCACCAAGACACAGCCAGTGCCATTTCAAGAAGACATGAGTTATCCAATGTCACCCGCGCAGGGCCCGGCCATTCCAGTGCCTGATGTGCTGCAGAGTGTAAGCACACCAAAGAAGGAATCGCCCACCAGTCCTGGTCACCAGAAAACCCCATTCACCAAAGACAAGCATTCAAGCCGCCTAGAATCCCATTTCACGAGAGATGAGATGAGAGCAAAAGCTCTTCATATCTCTTTCCCTGTAGAAAAAATTATTAACCTTCCTATGGATGACTTCAATGAAATGATGTCAAAAGAGCAGTTTAACGAGGCTCAGCTTGCACTTATTCGAGATATACGTAGGAGGGGTAAGAACAAGGTGGCTGCTCAGAACTGCCGGAAAAGAAAACTGGAAAATATCGTGGAACTGGAGCAAGATCTGGATCACTTAAAAGATGAGAAGGAAAAGCTGCTGAAAGAAAAAGGAGAAAATGACAAAAGCCTCCATCTCCTGAAAAAACAGCTCAGCACCTTATATCTTGAGGTCTTCAGCATGCTACGAGATGAAAATGGAGATCCCTATTCCCCTAGTGAGTATTCCCTGCAGCAGACAAGGGACGGAAATGTATTCCTTGTTCCCAAAAGCAAGAAACCTGACATTAAGAGAAATTAGATTTGGGAGGATTTGCCCTTTACTGAGGTAGTGTTTTTGTACTGTTTTACTAAAAGCTCCTACTGTGATGTGAAATGCATAATTAAGTGATATTTTATAAAAAAAAATTCTATGCAAGTATGTATCCAGTGTAGTATAGAAATTGCACACAATATAAAAGCATTAAAATAATAAGATGGCATATATATGTATGCAGAATCTATAATCTCACTTTTAACAACAAATATTTTCTTGTTGCACCATTTGGGCTAGTTTCTGTATAAGTGTAAATAGTGCAGACTTCTTATTTATACTGTTCCTATCTCATTGGTTATATTCATAGGTTTATATGAAAATATGATTTAGCTTACCCTAAATACAGTTTTGTTGCAAGACTAACCACAAGTGCCTTTTTATAAATACCGTATGATCTTAAAGTGTCATTTTCTTATGTAGTTATTTTGCTTTACCTAAAAATTTAATTTAGCAAAAAAAAGCTAATACTAATAAAGATATGTAACTTAATTTTGAGTATTCATTAAATGATTACTTTGTAATTCATTTATTTGAATTTGCATTGTGCTGTTTTCTACATAATAACACTGATTATAAATGTTATCTCATTTTGATGCTTTATATTTATAGAATGAACTTTTTTCACAAGCATAAAAGTTCTTCATCAGGCAGAGTTTTAGGTACAGTTATTTCAGCAGGCCATTGATGCACATCAGGGAAGTATAAATCTCTTCACTTTAGTAAGTTCATTTTATCTAAGAAAAACATTTACTTCCTATCAGTTACATGCATCGAAAGTTTTGGACCTATTTCTCCTGGAAAGCATTCTAATTATTTGAAAAAAAATTTTATCAGGCGATTTAATGTTGTATTTTGTCCACTTCATTTGCAAAATGCAGTCAGTTCAGTTAAGAGCTTTTCTAACATAATCCCCTTAATCTGTTGGAACTCTCTCCTTTTTCCTCCAGTTAAGTGATTTTTAATGAAACAGTGTGTGTACATATACATATATACACACATACATACATATCTGTATGTGTTTGTGTATGTATACATTGCATTCAGTGTAGCTATAGCTTATTTTGGCCTTATAACAACTTTTCCCATTTATATTCAATGGTTTCTAAAGCATTGTACCAGAAATAGCAAACATTCTGCAATGTTTTCATGTCTTTTAACCACTTCTTACATCTTCTATACTCAGGGTTCCTTTTTTAAGTACATGAGACCTACTGATAAAGGAAAGATGCAGGAAGTTGTTAACAGGGATGAGAATTTAATCCCTAAAAGGATCTTGACGCTTAAATACTCAAGGTCATTTTCCTTTTAAACTTAAAAACGGTTTGCATATTCAATTAAACAGGCATTTATTAAGCACCTACTACATGCCAGGCACTGTGGTGGATGCTAGAGTGAGAAAGACAAAAATCAAAATTAGCCCTTCTCCCAAGGAACTTACTTTCTTTTGAGGCACAAGGGAGTAGAATATACATTTTGTAGTAGCCTTTTTCATAATTTTGATAAGTAAAACTGAAAATTTTGCCAGTGTACTTTATCCTAGCTTTTAATACCTTTGTTAAGGACAGCCTTACAGGAGACTGTTCTCCCTTTCCCCCTTCCCCCACCACCTCCAGCTTTGTAAGGAAACACTGCTCCTAATCAACTGTCCTCCTTCCCCTTAGAGTACAGGTTCCAAAAGAATATTGCTCTTGGCTGCCGTGTCTTTCCAACTAGCAAGGAGATCAAGTAGGTGTTTGCTAGTTGAGGTGGTTTTGGAACTCTCATGGCCAAGTTGTGGTTCGTGTTTTACATTAATTAAAACTTCTTGATAATCAGAATCAGTGTCTTATCAATTTTTCCAAGTCAACATCTTGTTTAAATATGTTGATTTGGAGCTATAGCATTTGCATGTAGTGTCTTCTCAACACTATCCTCATTTGGTATTCTGACCAAAGAACTGAATATACAAACACACATGATTCTGAAGTGACTTCCGTATTGGTTATCAGTTGTTTCTTGTCTGCTAAGATACAGTTTCATTTTTTGTCATTTCTCAGTGCTTGCCATATGTAGTACCTACTGACTTGAACAAATGATGTTTGGTGTGAAGCTCCTACCATATAGTCCACTATAATGGCTGCCATTTTATATCATACTTTAAGGTTTGCAGCGTGCTTTTTACGTCGGTATTGCAGGTATTAGTCACCCCCTTTTATAGATGAATAAACTGAGACTCAAAGAAGTGACTAGCCCCTGGCCTTAGTGCTCATGCCAGAGCTGCAAGTTGAGCCCAGGTCTCTCCTGACCCTCCTACAGTCCAAGGCACTATGTCACCGTGCTTGTTTTTTACTTTTTATTTTTGCAGGGTTGAGGGAGACACTTTAATTCCAAACCATGTTTTCCAACATATTCTTCACTATCTTGTATGCCCACTTTCATATTGCAGTAATTGAGTATTAATACATACATATATACTTGGTTAAAAGTTGTTATTGAAGTTCTTTGTAGAATATTTCTACATTATCTTCTCCAGCAAATAAATGCAATTTATGTATCACTATCTCAGTGATCATCATTTTGTTTATGCATATTATGAGCACAACAAGGTGGAGATGACAGTGAAATGATATTTGTTGCATTTGGGCAAAACATGAAACCAACTCCTTTTGCCTCTCTGAAGAGAACCTGAGTTACATTTGGTGGCCACATCATTATGTCTTCTGGTTCATTTATGGCAAGAATGTCCATGTGGATGTGTTTCAGTTCTTCCAGTAGGGTCACTGGGCAGATTTCACACTGAATATCCATAGTTTATATGCAATCTAAAATAATGCTGATTCTTAATGCCCTCTTCTCCTTTCTGCCATGATCTCTTCAGAAGTAGAAGGGGGTTCATGGAGGACTGAGGGTCATTTTGTATTTTTACCCATTTTATGGCTTACTGTGGCCAAAGAATTTATCCCTCAGTAGTCTACTTTCCAGTGATTATTCCTTTGCATATTAAGCAATGGAAAGCAGGCATAATCTGATACTAGGATGATGCCAGAGCTTGAAATTTACTGGCATAGCTTTTGCGAACCCAAGCGTAGTTGGTTCTGTGCCACAGTAAGACTTTGGAGAAGGACTGTTATGATCTCACCACAAAAGGCTGAGCCTGCGACTTAGGAGGGCCAGTATGTGCTCTGAAATGACAGGAGTAAGGGAAGCCAGTGTATCTCTCCATGAAGAAATCAAATGAATTCTTCTCCTTCCCCAGCATAGCTTGATGTATTCATTCCAGAAGAGACAAATTTCCCATTAACAGAACATGATTTTTTAGTATGGGTGAATTTCAGAGGACACTAAAGAGAACAGTGCTGAAAAGTTGGGAATGTTTCCTTACTGTAATATATATCCACTAAAAAGCTGAAACAACACAGCCTAGACTTTCAAGAGAAGCTACATAGATTTTAGCCTAGTCTTGGAATTGGAAATAAACAATGGCCTACTGATGATCTTGGCTCATAAAGCAACTTAAAACAGCATCTGCAAAGGGGATTTATTTATATGCTGAGTGAGTGTAAAATTAGCTATTGAGACCCTTGAACAAAATCTTGATCTCTGACCAAACTTCCTTTCGGTAACAGTGGACCTTATTTTGGTTTTCTTAAGTCCACAAACAATGGCAGGTTAGATTTCTATTGAGACTCAAATTGTATCTGACATTTTTCTGCAGCATATTGGCTCACTATTATCTTTATTTCACATCATTTCTGGAAGGTCAACAGCAGGAGCTTCCTAGTTGTAGATGATGCTTCTCTGTGGCTGAGTTGGGGGTTGGGGTTGGAGGAAGGGAAAGAGTACTATAGGGAGGGAAGTGGAAGATTGTTGACTTAGAGCCTATGTATAGTTTGGAGCCTCAGTTTTTTTATATCAGCTCCAGATAAGTGATGGGAAAAGAGGTGTTTCCCTGAACTCAGGTTGTGTATTTTCTGCTCGGGGATTAAAATCAGAATTAGACATTTGGGGTTTATGAAGGTACTTCTTAAGACTGCTTTAGATTCAGTTAGCCCAGTTAACAGTTAACCCTACTTAGGGAAATATTATTGGACTTCTTTGTTAGAATTCTAGCTCTGCCACTCACAAGCTGTGTAATTGTGGGCATATCACCTTGTAAAAATTCCTTAATCATAAAACATTAATACCTGCAGTGCCTGCCACAGAAGGTTACTTCGAGGAAAGTGCTTTGTACCCTTAAGTTACTGTGATCATTGTGCAAATTGTTCCAGTTACACCCACCTTGCATCAGTTTATACAAATCCCCCCTTGTTTCCCTGAATATGCATATTTGTTGTTTCTTACAGCATAATAAATAATATTCTGCCACATTCATATGCCATAATTTGCTCAGCCTCTCCCTAGTTGATGAGTACCCCCAAAAGTGCTGCAATCAATATTTTTGTATATATACCACTGAAGTCTTTATTAGTTGTGGTACCACTGGCCTGAATGGTATGTACAGCTTAATGACTTTTCTCATAAAATTCTGAATTATTTTCTAGAATAGTTGGACCACTTCACAACTCCACTAACAGTGAATCATTAATGTGCCTGCCCATATTTGATTTCACTTTCTACTTTCATCTTATGAAATAACTTAGAAACGCCTCAGGGTGTCTGTCTGTAGCATGATGCACTGGAGAGGTAAATGTTGCCATTGACCTTGGACCAAATCCCTTAACTTCTCTGGACCTGTTTTATCTGCATTGTGTAGGCTTAAAGGGGGGTGAAAATCAAAGCTTTATTTATACATAATGAATATCACTTGCAAGAAATTTTTTTTACATTTCTTTATTGCTTTATTGAAGTGGGTGAAACATTAATATAGGGCATCCTAAAATTCTTAGTGTAGTTTTAAGTTTTAATAGCTTAAAACTGTATTAAGAATTTTGGGACACTATGATTCTTATTCAGTCATTGACCTTTTTATATAGAAATTGATGTTTCCTATTAACAGAATGACATTCTGTTTTAGCATCAACTGAACTATGACAAGGGGCACAGTAGATAGAGGACCAGGCCTGGAGTCAGGAAGACCTGAGCTCAAATCTGGCCTCATTAGACACCAGCTCTGTGACCCTGGGCAAGTCACTTAACCCTATTTGCCTCAGTTTCCTTAAATGTAAAATGAAGATAACACCACCACCTACCTCACAGGGTTGTTGTGAGGATCAAATGAGACAATATTTGTAAAGTGCTTAGCAAAGTGTCTGGCAAACAGGTGCTATGTAAATGCTAACTTACTACTGTCACGATGTATTTGGTATGTGGTTTGTGGTTGTTCTTTTTATAATTTATTTAAAGAAACATTTTCTTTATAGGGCAGGGATTCTTACTCTTTTGTGTCATCGAGCCTTATGTCAGTCTGGTGAAATCTTATCAGAAAAAAAATTTTAATGCATAAAATGAAATATGGAGGATTAGAAATCAATTGAAATAGCTATTAAAAATATTTTTAAAACAAGGTCACAGAAGCCAGGTTAAGCTTCTTGTAGTCAATAAATGCCATCCTTTGTGAAAATAAATGAATTGCTTTTGCTCGTTAGAGAACATGTACATACACACTTACATGCATCTATTTTGATAAGTTGGTTCCCTTTTCTCTTATATAAGGACTCCCCAAGTATTTTCTTTTAGACTCTAGGCTAGCATTTTATCTGAGAGCCTTCTCAAAGCAAAGTTCTAAATCCATAAAGCAAAGGCTTTGTTATCCTTTCATCAAAGAATATGCATCAAGGCAATTCTCTGGGTAGTGGTCGGTCAGTAAGCATTTTATTCAGTGCTTACTTTGTGCCAGACACAGTGTTAAACTCTGGAAATGCAAAGAAAGGCAAAAACATGGTCCTTGCCTTTCGTAGAGCTATCCTAATGGGAGGAAACAACATTCAGACATAGAAAATACATACAGAGTAGATGAAAGATAATCTTAAGAGGGAAGGAGCTAGCAGTGTGGGGTACTGGGAGAGGCCTTTTGCAGAAAGTGGGATCTGAGCAGTCTTGAAGGAAGCCAGGAGGTGGAAGTGAGGAGGGAAAGCATTCCAGAAGAGTGAGACAAGTCAGTGAAAAAGTACCAAGCCTGGACATCGAATGTCATGTTCAAGCTATAAATTCTTAAAAATTGTAATGTTCATCTCAGCCCAAATTAAATAGTTTTTATTTTTTAAGAATGCTGTTTCCTATAGATTTCCACATGCTGCTGAGAGATAGTAAAGATGAATGTTCTGATAATATGTTTGCTATCCCATCTAGCCAATTTTCTTTAGAATCCCTGGGTACTAGAAAAACAAATGTCACTGATGTGCATCATGTGAGACCTTTTTGTGTAGAAAAAAGGAAAACTGGTGGGCCGTCATTGGTGCTACCATTCAACCTCCTTCCCTGCCTCACCCCTTTTTAGGAACTGATCTCTCTGAGACTAAAGGATTCTAGTGAAGATCTATTTGGTTGCTTTCTAGGGAGCTACCCACCCCCTGTTAGCTTTCTAGGGAGCTACCCACCCCCACTGATCTGACACTAAGCCTCTTGCCAATAGAGCTGGCCAAGACCTACCTTGAGACCTAGAGGGACCACAGTATTCTTCTGTCTTACAGGCTTCAAAGAATATAATTAGGGCAATAAGTTCTGTTTGTGGGATGTAGCAGTGAATTCATCACAAAATCGTGGTTTGGTTAATTACTATTTGACAAAAGTCATGGCTTCACAATAATGATCTGATTAGTAGTAGCCAGAGGACTGGGCTTGAATTGCAGGTCTGTTGCTTTCTGCTTGTGTGATCTTGGAGCACATTTATTCCCCAAGC